GGCTCCCGCTCCTCCCCGCGCTCCTCCCCGCGCTCCTCCGCACTGCTGGGCAGAGCGGGCGAGCTGGAGTCCGTCCGAGTTGGCCGAAGCTGTTGCCATGACACGCATTTTCTTCAGAAAGCTGTGCTGTTGAGACCATCCAAAGCTGGGGATTGAGGCGGGTGGCACGAAGTTCCTGGGGCGCCATCCTTCCGAGGACAGCAAGACCAGAGACACTCGACCCGCCCAGCTCCCCAGCATTATTTTCTTCCAGGAACCTGAGAAGTCCTTCCCATTGGGAGGGCCGGGTGCAGGAGACCCGGCCCACTCCCTGCCCTGGCAAAAAAGGCAAGAGAGCAAAGCCAGCATCTCTAGCGTGGCTGCTCGTCGGGGAGACCGGTGGGTGGTCATCCCCGCCCTACCCTGTGCATGGAAACCCGGAGGGAGAGTCCTGCTCCGAGAAGCCTGGATCTTTGCTAGAAAGAGAGGTAGGCTTGCAGAGAATGAATTGACTCGCAATTTGCAAACTTTGTTTCTTTCCTCCCAATGGCTTCTAAAACTCCCTGAATTTCCTGTCCCTGGCATAGTTCTTGCTGCTGGGTTTGGGGTGTGTGTGTTGTGTGTGTGTGTGTCCGCGCCCGCGCACAGATTTGTCACATACTGTATTTCTTTCCTACACTCAGCTGAGAAATCGTATGATCAAACAAGTGACTTCTTTTTCTTTGCCTAGTTTTTGTCATTCCTGGGCTGTGGGGGTTGGGAAATGGAAGGACTGTCTCTTTCACACCCAGATCGAGCTTTTGGAAAAAGCAGTTCATTGCCCCCATCTGCTCCTGCCCTCCCCTCCCCCTTGGCTTGGGAATCAGACGCTGAATGGAAAACTTGCAAAAATATTTTCCGCGTCTGTTCCCTTTCTCGAAAGCCCCAAAGAGAGATGGAAAAAAAAAAAAGAAAAAAAAAGGATCGCGTACGAAATCTTCAACCAGAAGGAGGGGCTGCCGCGGGGACCGGGAGATGAGCTCGCTGGAGGGGGTGGGGGTGGAGGTGGGAGCTAGGGGAAGCTGGGTGAGGAAAGGGAGTGCCCAAGTTAAATTTCTTTAGCGTTGTAGAGAAACCTCAGCAGTTTCTCTCTGCCACTTGCAAAACATCCCCAGACTTTCACGTCTATAATTAGCCGTGGAAAAGCTGAGAGTTCCCCGTGCCGCTGGTGTTTTGAGTGTGTCCGAAGCGTCAAGAACCAACTGTGTGAGTGTCTCCGAGGGCACCGCCCCATGTAGCTCTGGTCCCAAAGGGAAGCCAGGAGACGTGAAGTTGGCAAGTTTGCAATTTCCAGGCTGGTGATGGGGGGGCTGGTGAGTGCTCAGGGGTTGGGGCTGGTCGCAGGCATCTTTGGGAAGAGCGTCCCTGAGTGTCTAGGGGCTGAAGAGGGAGAAATTAAGGCTGGATTGCCCCTCCGGCCCTCCCTGCGCACACGCTCACTCACATTCCTGGCTCGCTCGTGGGGTGGAGGCGGCTGCCTGGCGTCGTCCCCGAGGCAGTGCGGCCTCGCACACTCCTCCATCTCCCCGAAGGGCCCGGCGCTGTCCTCCGCTGGGCGTGGGGGACGCGGGAGGGGCCGCACACCCTGGGAGCGAGTGGGCACGCTGCGGGCCGGAGGCCGCTCCCTCCCGGGCATTCCTGCTGGACTCCCAGTAACTTGCGGACGCGACGGCGGCGCCGGTTGGCCTGGTGGAGGGGGGGAGTCAGATGAAGAAATTCGCGGGCCCTCAACTGACGCCGCCGGGGGGAGGGGAAGTGAAATCCCATTCTACTGCGCCACCTCCTCCTCTGGGTGGAGATCCTCGCTCTTGCTTGCCTTTCTCTCTTTTTATTTTATTTTTTATCCACCGCT